AGAATAAGAAGAGAAAGAAGAAGAAAAGAAGAGAACAAAAAACTGTGGGAAAGAGAGAAAGAGAGTTACAACTAGATAAATAAATAAAGAAAAGGAAGATATACAGAGAGATAGACACCTGAGAGGGGGATAGAGTGAAATAAAAAAACAAAGAAAAGCAGGAGTCGATAGAGATTAAAATCAGAGAGAAAGAGGTAGAGAGAGAACGACGATAGAAACAATTTTAGAAAAAGAAGATATAGTCACGGAGAGACGGTGACTCGGGGAGATGACGTGAGAGATTATTCTGATTAAACATATAGCACGTTGAGCTATATTTATTGAGAGATAAGCGGATGATAAAATATATCATTACTGTGCAAATATCAAGCCAGAGGGAGGCCTTGTTGTGAATAACTTTTTCTAGTTAGTGATACCTTCACTCTTTCCAATGAAATGCCAATTGCGAAAACCCACAAGAGTTAAGAAAAGCACACTATGTTTGCTTTTAATTATTGTCTGATTTTGTTGCCTATGTTTAGAAAATTGAAGGAATATGAGCACGGTCAGCATAATATTATGTAAAGTAGATGAAAATAGAACAAAAACGCTCCCTGTCTTTAATGCATGACATGTCGGTTGGAATTGTAAAGGTTTTTCTTCTACAAATCGCGCGCCCCTGTTTAAAGGTTTGCCCTTTCAGTGATGTTTTGCGACAACTCTCAAGGGATGCGCTCTGTACATAACGTAACACAGATTTCAGCCCACGAAATAGACCAGGCATAACGAAAAAAAGAAAGAAAAGAATCATGTCTCGTACCGTGTTTTTTTATTCATCCCTTTGTCGGCAGAAATTGCTCTTGCACCCGACCAATCTATCATTTTCGAACCCGTAATTTGTCTTCAATGGCATATGCGTGAGTTCTGATTATTAACGTTAAAAGTAAAATAGAAGGAAAAAAGAAGTCGCATGACATGCATGTGTTGACATAATACTGCCATATTATTTATATTATATACATACTGAAATTATTCCATTTTTTAGATGTAGACGATATTTATCAGGAGACATGAAATATCAATAAACCTATTTTGTTTTTTGAAAGACTTTATTTTTAGTTGTTGGCCGTTTTCCTATTCTTTTATCAAAGCCGAATACCATGACGAAATATAAGAAAAGCATTATATTAGAGTATATTTATCGAAAACGCACATCATTTTACCTTAAACGTCGCAGCAAGATTACACCATCTTTAAAAAGCAATATGTATTCCTTATAAAAGAGAATTGGTAAATCATTGCAGACAAATAATAATTCCATCTGAAAAGCTCTAGGCGAAAATAACATAACATTGTCAGTAATATTATACGTTATCAAGCTGTAATGATAACAGGATGGGATTTTTTTCCAAAGATGTGAGAGTTGGGATTTCAAAAAGATACCGTATCATAATATCCCCTTCGATCTTAGTAATATAGTATTATTTGCAAATGAGTATTACTATTTCCGAATTTAAGACAACTAAACTTAACATTCTCGCAAAATAACTTCAGGGTACAATATACGGCAAAGGTCGTAGGCTAATACGTTCGTATGTATATAGTGAAATAATAATTACCCAAATTGCGGGCCTTTTCGATAAAGAAAGATCAATATTTCTGCAGCCCGTCTGTGATAAGAATATTAATCTAGTCCAATTTTTCTCCTTTGTTTGTTCTGGTTGAACGTTGATTTGTGTACAGACAGCGATGAGATGAACAGATATTCATAAGTTGTATCTGATATCATAATGCTGCCAGAGCTCCTTGCGGTGCAAACTTCTTGCCATTTTTTTAATGAATTCAGTAATAGCATACCGAAATCCTCAGATTGTGTGTAGTGGCAAAAAAATGATTGAACTTAAATCGGAGCAATTGTTGATTTTCAGATTCGACATTGGTCTATTGAAATATGATTAAATATGCCATTACGAGGTATTTCAGGTATCAGTTAACATCATTCATGTATCATTCAAACGATTTAAATGACCCCCACCCCCACCCACATACACACACACCCCCAAAATACACAAAGAATTTCTAGTTATTTCCTAACACTTTGTCAAAGTTCATTTTCCATTAATTACTATATATCTTTATTATTTTTGTTTAGTTTTTCTTTAACTAAATGCGTTTTCAAATAAAATTAACCAATGATATTGTAACCCCTTATTATTGGATAATTCAAATGTGCACCGTCCCAACTCACCACTAACAAGCATCCGGGGCAATGTCTTGCAGCAATCCTGAAAGGCAACCTTTCTCTCCTGGTATGACGTAGGTAATGTAGATTCTTTTCTAGCCAAATGATGTGCCCTACCTGGGACTCGAACCGCTTGACTTATCCACTAGGCCACGAAAATGTTTGAATTAGATGATATAGAACCATAAATCAACAAAGCTCAACATTATTGTCATTGGTTGCTCTGTGTTTTAAAGCATGTATATATTATGGACACAATTTTCCTGCTAGTCATACGTGCTGACTGAGACTTTTCCTTTATCTCTATTAAAACAGTTTGATAAGATGGAAAAACGATACTAACTATAATAAATACTTCAAGAATGTGTCGTTTATGGCTCCTTTTTCACCCTTTTTACACATATTCTTGGATTGATAACACTGTTTTTAAGAAGAAAAAAAATGTCCATCTGTTCTGGTTTATCTAAATATTCATGTTATCTAAATACCAATATTATATATAAATGTGGTTCGAGAATGGCGACACTATTTTTTACAAACTTTAAGATGCAAATTCACCTTATTTCTCAATTAATTTCTCGAAAACGATTGTTAAAAAAAACACCAAAGCACTCGAAAGATTAAAAAAGGAAATTGATGATATTGCTTGGTATAAGGGGAAGAGACGATTTTAATCGAAAAAATGAAAGTAAAATGATCTCGATGAATTGGTGTTAAGCTGTCTGCCAAATCCTACATTCTGCCACCCCTCCCCCACCCATGTATTTTAGTTGATATGTTTAAATGTATGCAGTAGCTCGTCCTGCCGTGGCGTGAAACAGGCGACGCCGTGAACCCCGGTACCAGAGCTGTTAGGTGACGGGTCTGGTAAAGCGACATTATAACGGCGGTATATGGCGGAATCGTGTTGTTTAGTCGGGGTACATGCGGCCGTGCACAGTAGAAGTACAAATTTGTCTAGGCCGCTTAGACAAACTGCAGATCCGACTTCTTGGCTCCAACACAAAACCCACGTCAATCTCCCCAGGATCTCTCTCCTTCTCTCTCTCTATCTCTCTCTTTCTCTCTCTCTCCCCCTCTCTCTCGCTGTCTGTCTGTCTTTCTCTCTCTTCCCTTTCCACTCTTTTTTCACGCTCTCAATCTTTTCTATATCACCCGCCTCTCTCCCTTCATTCCCCCCTCTCTCTCTCTCTCTCTCTCTCTCTCTCTTTCTCTCTCTTACTTACCACTCCCTTTCTCCTCTTCCTCCTCTGTTTTACCCTTCTCCTCCCTCTCTTCTGGATCTGTGTTCTATCTTCCCTTCTTCCCTCTACCAATCTCTCCGACTTTTGTCCTCTCTTCTAATTTCTATTTATCTCTTTTGAAATCTTAAAAATGTCTATATCTCCCGATTATCCCTAATTTGTAGTATATGTCAACGTTCAATGTCTCAATTTTTTCTCTTCCACTCTGTCTTTATCTCCGAGCAATCTTTTTGACAAAAAACACATTGTTTCATGATGGTGGTTTTCTTTCACATTTTACTAATATCTTTCCACGTTCATTTCCTAAGAAATCATATTGTTATCTGTATCTGCATCTTCCTTATACCCCACCATTATACTCCACAAACCTGAAGCAATCTATGCTGCAATCTTCGTCCTTTCACTTCAACGTTCTGTTTCATACCTCAGTCACACCGCCAAACCGACTTTAGACCGATTCCGAACCAACCGATTCTTGGCCATACAGCCGTAATGTCTCATTTTCGTCGCCGGGTGTCGGTCTGGTGTCGGTGTGACCAAGGTATTAGTGGTGTCTCTTTCGCAAAAATTGTTTCTCGTCCATATACCTCATCCCCATTTAAAAATCTTACACAACCTAACAATATAGGCGACTGAATCGTTTTTTCCCAACATTGACGCCCTTTCAAAATAATACAAAGAAATTAATATCTTATACGTGTATGTAGGTGCACGGAAAATTATACTATATTTGATGTGCCCTCCCCTACCAGCTATCCCCTTCCCTCTTTGCCTTTTGCTGTAGATTTTGTCGTCTGACTGGCAGGACGCGTTTCATGCAGACACGGAAACTAAACAAATTTGAAAAGCAATTACTTCCGAGGGATCTCCTTTTATGCCGTTTTAATCTCTTTGTTTGTGTTTTGGAGTATTTGACCGTTTTATTTTGTTTTGTATAAAAAAAAAGATCGTTTTCGTATCCCTTCTTCTGAATGTTCCTAACTACTGTATTCAAACATAGAACATAATGCAAGGACTTTCTTTAATGTTTGTGTCTGAAGGGTGAATAATTGAGGCTGTTTTATGAGAATGTTGCTGTGTCCATAATACGGTCGCAAACACTTTCGAAAAATCAACCTAAATAAATTCTATAGCCCAGTCATCATTCATTGAAATGCCCAAACACTACAGTAACGTAAAGTAATCCCGATATGATTTCTATGTGACATACAGCCGGCTATTGGCATTGAAATTGTTCTTGAGTTGATTTCTCGAAAGTCTGTGCGATCGAGCTTCTCTAAGAGTTTGTGTGCATGCTGTAACAATTGTCTTGTCTTAACTCTCAACTTAGGGATGTAAACCGCGTTAAGCATAGTAATTGAAGAATAACCTCAAATATTTCAATATCTCAGATAACATTACAACACTCTCTCGCTGACAGACATAAGTGTGTGTTTAGAGCCAAAAGGGTGTTCATTCTGTGTTAAAGAATGTGTGTTAAGGTCCCTCTGCCTCTTCGTATAGACGCCTCAAAAAATAGAACACAGATTAACAAGTTTTCTACGTGTGATTCTCCAATTTAATAAAGGACAAAACATAAAACACCTTCTTCCGTCATAGCTTAAACAAACCATTTTGATAGCGATTCGGATTTGAAACAAAAAATGATACTCCAATCACACCAACGAGACCGATTCCAGACCGAACAAAGATTTATCCTAGACCGAATGGTCACTAATAGGCTGGTTTAGCGTCGGTTTGGAGTCGGTCCGGTGTTGTGACCAAGGTATTATTAAAGACATTTGACATGAACCGTGTATACAGGAAAGTGGAATTGACATGTACATGGCTTCTGACGAGCTCAACTGAGATCATTATAACATCGAAACTTTAACCAACACGGGTCATTAATATTACTGATTTGTAATTATATGACATGTATTTGCATTTTCATTCCTTTCTCTAAACTAGATACCTCGTTAATGTGAAACGAATACAAGGAATTCGATATTAGGGGTATACACTCCTTTGATTCTACGGTTGAACCTATTCCTCAATTGCACTAGGTTAATTTTGATAGACATTATTGAATGCAGCAAGCTGAATAAATGTCTTCATATCTAAGGTTTCATTAAATTTGAGGCGTTAAATTAGGTAAAAATGTCAAGTTAAAATAAAATAAAATAAAATAAAATAAAATAAAATAAAATAATTTTTACTTGGTTCTACAGTACCGACTGTACTGACGCGTAGGAAAATAAAATGGATAAATAAATTTGTTAGAAATGCGTCAAAACCATTGTAACGAACCAAACTATATTTTTGATATCATTTATGGAAAGTGGACGTTGACTATTTGAATAAACAGAGCAATAAACATGAAATACTCATGACTGATATCTGTTCAAATTCAACGGACTGAGTACTGTGTCTCATCTTGTTATTATCCGATATGACCGGTAACTATAGCAACGAAGGCAAATTACTGTAGAACGCAAACGCGAACGAAAATGGAAAATTAAATATTGTCGACGTTTAGAAATAAAATACGTATAATGATGTACGTTCCCAAACTCACATGTCATGCAAAAATATGTGGATCTTTGAATATAATAATAATGATAATAACATGCTGCTGAGATTGTAGAATGAGTTTTACATTGCTAAAGTTTCGTTCATTTTCTGAATCTTGAAATATTTTCATTCGTAATGCTTAATTTGGGGTATGTGCAAAATTCACATTTTACATCTAACTGGACAAGAAAATCGCATACACCGTTCGAATTTTGAAATGCGATTAAGAATTAAAAAATAAACAAAGACGGAGGAATCGTATACGATAAAGACGTAACACAAAATTCAATTATTATTTAAGCAAGGAAATTCATATGGAATAGGAGACATAAATCAATAAATTACAACATTTCATTTGACATGTATGTCAATCACCGGGATTGATATCCGTCTCAAAAGAATTATCTTTACACATATACCAGACAAAATCAATATTTTCAACATTTTTTTCTGTACAATAAACAAGAAAACGGACCATAGAAAAAAGAAATCTATATCATGTACAAAAGAACTGCTCTTTTTATGTTTCGAATCATCCATGAAGAGCTATTTCTTGGTTGTCATTAAAGATAAAATTATATCCCTGCCAATATCTTTGAAAAGAAGAGCCCACCACATTTTGTTTAAATTCTAGTACCTGAAAAATCTATTTACAAACGAAAATGTGGAATAACATTTAGTTATATGAGATAACCCGACAAGCTATACTTCACAGCTTTTAAAACCGTCTTTTGTGATGATAGGAATATTAATAAAAATATTGATGATAATACATTTGTTGAAATAATCATTGTAATTATTCTATTTGCATCCAACAAGAAAGCAGATTAGAAGTAATTATAAAGTTTGCCACAGAACCACCATTCCTTTTTTTGTTTTAAATTAACAAATAATTCATTTTGGGCGACTAATTTTGAGACAACCCCTTGTTTTGCTATAATCTTCTAACCCATTCAATTATTATTTCTTGACACACATGAAAAGAAATATTCTCAAAATCCCGTTTTAACTCCTTATCCATATTTTGTGATGGGGAAGGATCTATGCTTGATACAGTGAATAAAACATTGCTGAACAAACTATAAATTACTTACTTCACGTAAGTCTCGGTAAAACCAATGAAAACTGCAAATTGCCGGATAATAATGCTGGTTTTAAAATTGTCATAGAATGGCTTACTTTTGTAAACAAAATCAAACCATTAAAGAACATTTGGAATTTAACCCAATCGGCCTTAGGAGGCTTATCAAAGATAAGTTTTATCACCAGCATATAATATATGGATATATTATAAATTATATATAATCAAATTGTGTTTGCCATTACAATGGTTTGTTATTCTTACATGGTGCAAATTGTAGGAGGTAATTCATCTACTTTCCCTTTAATAATTTATCGTTTCCATGACTATTGTGTGGTGCAAGCATGGATTATTTCTGCAGGGCATTTTTATTCACATGTGATATCATTAAATCTTAAGTGAGGGACAATAGATTTGGTCGGATTTCTCAACAGTTTTATTTTCTCTCTTCACGGAATCTTTGTTCATTATGATGACTTTCACCATGTTCTTCCGTGAAGGAGAAATGGAGCCGTTGCCGACATGTTATTGACAGCACCATTATGGGTCATTCCAGCAGCCCCTGCACTGGGGCTATAAAGACTGTGCATGGCACTTGCCTGATGATGTAGCGAAGCTTGGCTCATAGGATGCTGGTGATGCGCGTGGACGGAGACAGGACTGAGTCCGATGCCGGAGTCGCTGGATGGGATGCTGATGGGGATACCGCACGAGCTTGGCTCCACGGGACTGGCTTTCATACTGGCGTGGTGGTTTGCAGCGGTCTGCTGTGACGACATGGATTGTGTCACGTTACCTTGCTGCTGCTGTTGTTGCGGCTGCTGTTGCTGGGGACCACCAACCACACCCTGGTCGCTCACCCCTTCTACCTGCCCACTGAGACTCCGGTCATCATCATCGGTTAAATCTCCCCCTGTATTACCCCCTCCTCCACTGCTTCCATTACAAGGCTTACCGTCTTTCACCAGCACTGGAACCGCCACCCGTCGAGGCGACTGGTGACAAATGGTGTTGTTATCCTGCATGTTCTTCTCCTTGGTTTGCCTCTTCATCTTGTAGCGGTGGTTCTGGAACCAGATCTTGACTTGGGTTGGGGTGAGGTTGATGAGGTTGGCGAGGTGTTCTCTCTCCGGGGCCGACAGGTACTTCTGCTGCTTGAAGCGCCGCTCCAGCTCGTACACCTGGGCTTGCGAGAACAGCACCCTGCGCTTTCGGCGATGGGACGGGAGTAGTGGCTTGCCGAGGTCTCCACTGCCAACTGCGGATAGTGTGGACATGTTCATATTCATGTTCATATTCATGTTCATATTCATATTCATGTTCATTGTGGACGAGTGGTTCATCAAACGGGAAACTGCAGAAAATGAATAAATGGGGAGAACAGGGGAAAAGTCCAGTCATTCTAGCATGTCAACCTTTTTAAGAAAGTATCCACAAGAATGCATGCAGACTATTGGACTAATTCCAAAAGATAATTCTTTCCCCTCTTATTCACGAATAAAAATTAATCTATTCAAATTTTCCATAAACCATCCCATAATGTTATTTCATAAATTTCATAACCAGAACCACTTTAGCATTAAATTGAAGTACATGATTTAAAAATAAAAATTCCTCCGACCACTGAAACAAATTAATAGTCTAATGATTTGAAAACCTTCGCTGAACATAAAAAGTCAAACTATTTGATGAAGAAAACTGGGGAAACCTTTCAAGGTAACTTCAGCGGCATAAATTCTTAGTAAAAGAAACTCTTCTGGTAATTACAAGCCTTGTTATTATGCTCAATAACAAAGGTTGACCTTTGACAGATTAATATACGCCGGTCCATGAATCATTAACTAATTGACATAAATATGACCCATATTTTTGGCGCATTAAAACGTTATATTTTTATCATCAAAGCTGAAGTAAAGCGGGAACTATGATGATACTGTAAGTAGTTATCAATAAGTAAATGTAAAAAGCCTATTTTAATTGTTTTCGCATTCTGTTTCTAGTAATGTTGATCTGCTAAAATGTTATTACTTGAAGAAAAAAAATATTTTCAAACTTTCTGCCATCTTAAAAATTTTCATAATGTAAGAGCTTTTAATTTGTTTGTAATATTTTATCTTAGTTATATGATACTTATTCTTACTAATTTAAATGTATATAGTTTGTTCCTTTGTATTTATTTATTTCAGGGAAATGTATAATTATTTTGATGCAAACCAATCATTGATGATTTGCATCGTATTTCATATACGCAACTACTCATTTACAACAAAATCAAGGAATTATGAAGTAAATCTCCATGACCATCGTGACAATTCGTACTACATTATAATAAATAGATGAATAATATCAATCGCGTTGAAAGAGATCTTGGTGGGTTTTTTTTAAGTCAAGGCCTATCTAGCATTAAGATTAACCTGATAATTTGATTTAGAACTTGTTTTTCATTTAAATGAAACTAACTATATATTTAGGAACACTACTTTCATGTCTTTTCTATATTATGTTGAAACAGGATGAGCCCATGCATTCCAATTGGTCAGAGTGCGATTTTTGCAAATGCACTGGTTATAATCGTCTGCGGCTAACTTTTTCTCTTCTCCTTACATTTATACATTTAATAGACTTTTATAGGTCCCTCTAAATCATTTTTTATTCGCCATCAATGTGATGAATCTCCTTGTTAAGAGATAATCAAAGACAGAGGTCAAGACGTCTTAATACTTGTCTCAAGTGGATGTCAAGTACATCTCGAGATCCAATTAATCCCACGTTTGTTTACAGATTTCTCATGAAAATTCATCTAATAATTGATTTTTTTTTAAATGCTTCCCATATTAAGTCGTTTTAATGTATAATTTAAAATGCATTTTACATGTATATGTAAACATGCACAATTCAGCATTTTGGCTGCGAGGCATTGTTTTTTGATAAAACCATTATTGAATTGATTTGAATTGAGTGCAACGTATTTCAATTAATCGGTTTATTTTTGTGTTTTCAGTTATAATTTTTAAGATTATTATATTGTATAAACACGACACTTAAATTTTAGTCTCTTGAATGCTGTCCTATAAGATATTTCTCTGCTGCTAAAAATTGAATGGATGAATATTCAGGGCAGCACTTTAGATTTAATATTTATATGTGAAATAAGACAGTTTTCATGTTGTTCTGTTTCAGGATACTAAAAGACATTATAATATCTATACTCGTATTTAACATGAACGAAAACTTGAGAATTATTATCTCCTAAACTATTACAGTATTAGAACTTAATGTTAGTAATGAATAAGCTATCCATTTGATATGTATTTCGTGGTAATGTATTGTTTCTATTCTGTTTGGTGTTGATTTTTTTAATTTCTAAATCATTTTCTTTAATATTCATTTGCTTATCCAATGATAAACAACGGGAATACCATTTCAAAGAATGCATCCGAAATGTAAATTAATGACACTAGGTTTTAATCTTCATTTGATTGAGACATGACATTTTTATTAAAATATGTCACGATTCCTAATGACTGATATCCCTTTTACCTACATTAGACAGGCGGGAAATCATGGGTATTTCACAAGAGCTGATATAGATTATAAGGATTTGAATTCCTTTCCTTTAGAAAAACATACGGCCGCGATGGAGTATTGCAATCTGTCATAATTCAGCAAAACATATCTTAGATGGCTTTTTGCAGGATCATTTAGAAGTAAATGCGAATGTGAAGGTTGATAATAATCCTTCATTATAATGTGGTCATAGTTTGTAGGGCTTGAAGTATTTTAAGCATTTCTTGTTTACATATTTTTCGTACAAAACGAGACTAGAAAACGGCGAACAAGCTGAGCTAATTTTATCTGCAGGAAGCGGATACCAGTTTATATAAAAAGCATAATAAAATTTGCGATGGTGATAGATTTCGGTAATATATATTATAATCTTCAATACTAGTACAGGAAACGATCATTATTATACCAATTTTGGTTCAGCTACTTTCTCATTTTATCATTTTTCGTTCGCGTACATTAGCCAATATTTTTAAAATACTGATATTTACACCTGTGTTCGTTTTATTCCTTATTCTCACAAAACATTTCGAGCCTCCGTTTCAAACATATTTAGAATCTATTTACGCAAGGTGATGTTTTGACTTAAAATAAATCATCGACAATTTATTATCTCTTTCGTCAAGTAATTTAATGATATTGATAACTTTTTGGTAACTTTAACTTCTTAGAAGGTTTCTGACTATGCATGTATATTATTTTTTTCTTTCCATTCCTTGTTTTTCTTTCTTTCGTTTCACTTTTTAAGAGTTATAAAAAGGGGTGTGGAAGTAAAATGTATTTGAGCAGCGGGACGGGGGTAACTCCCTTGTTCGGCAGAGTCAGCCGATGTTTAAACTCGTCTAATGTCATATTAATATTGGCATAATATTTGAGTATGTCGAGGAGTCGTTAAACTTGTGCCTTGAAAGCAGCTGGGTATACATAAGTCGGCTCTGTGGCGGGGGTTTAAAGGTTACTCCGCTAATGCCTGAGACACTATTTTTTTCTCGTGATTACTCTTTGGAGTGTGTGTATACATTATGATACCACTTTGATCATAAAATGATTAGAAAATGAAGGTATGATACAAGAATAAAGAGGAATGACTTACTTGTAAAACGTGGGTCTGAGCTGGCACCGTGATACCAGCTCGCGGCTGACGGCCGATGGTCGCTGTAGTGCTGGCTAAGCTCCCCGACCGATCCGTTGCAATAGTTGTGGGAAAGCTGAGGGACGTGCATGTGGGCATACGGGTTGTTGGCCGAAGCCATGTTCATCGGCGAGACCTGCATGCCCTGATGAGCCGAATGTTGCGGGGAGCGGTAAGCTGATTGCATGCTGGGTGCGGCTGAGAAGACCGATGGGAAGGCGGATCCTGGACTATCTAACATAGACCGTCTGAAGCTCTCTTCAAGGGGCGTTAGGATATCAGCGACAGAGAACGAAGTGGTCTGTTTGGGGCTATATGACATCTCTTGGAAGAAGATAAACCAGGCATCAACGGCACTGGAAGAGGCTTGATACAGTCAGAAGCTCCCTAGCTCGATGAGAGGGAAAGACAAGGACTCTCTCTATCTGGTATGGAGAGCGCTTATCAAGTACTCGTTGCTTCAAGTGAGTCGATGAATGAATGAGTGGACCAACCAAGTTCCCCCCTTTCAATAGTCTGACTGAGCTAGATCTTTGTGAGGGCCCCGTTGGAGTGTCCTACAGGTAGGGAAGCTCTCACGATAAATCCACTCCACCACCAGTGGCAGTCTTCTTAAGTACCGGGCGCCACGCGCTTCCCTTCTCTCTCTTTCTCTCTCCCACTCTCAAAGTGTTGCCGCAATCTCAAGACTGAGAACTTCGAACCAGAGAGGAAACAAAATATTTAACAACAACAACAACAAAAACGTCGGTTTATTTTTTAAGAGCCCAGGCGAGAAATGTCTATCTATTCCTCTCTAATTACACAAAAGACGAACTCAATCGCCTAAATGGAAGATAGAAAATTGTGAATATCAACCCATACCCTGCATTGCAATTGTATTTTTCACTACCTCTCTTTCTCTCTCTCTCCGATCTTGTGGCGTATGGGCAGATGAGCGCATGCGTGAAGGAGAAGGAAAAACTGGGACCAATAATAATTATTGATTAACAACCGCTCAAGCCTGCATTTACATATGAAAGGGCGAAGTGCGTGTGTGATTTAGCGAGGGCTTCGCACTTAAGCCCCGCCTACTTCAACCAAGCCCTAAAAGGGCGATTAGTACACAGTTACATTATAAAGTTATTATAGCCTCTTATAAATGAATGGCCTTTTGTACTTTTCGCCCATCATCTATGTATTAACTTTTGAACATTAATAAAGAATAGTACGCACCCCCTTGATAATTATATCAACAGTTACAAAACATCCACACAGTGCAACAAACTATTGGACTGAAACAAATCTTAAATCTGAGAGCTTTTTAGCAGACACTTCAACAAGTTGTCATCCCTTTTCATTTCAACTCAAACAATATACATAAATAAGCTACATAATTGGGTTGCAATAATATAGGCGGCAGGCTTTTGAAATAATTTGATGTGGTATTTTGTTTTTGTTGTATTTACCTTGATAAGTACAAAGAGAGACAATAAGCTATAGTGTGCTTTTTTATTGTTATAATTAGTATTTAATAAATAATAAACAATAATAAAGAAGCTAAAGGAGTGGCAACTTGTGCCGTACATGAGCGCTATACAAGAACCCATTATATTACTTTGATCATTATGGATAGTAGAAATATAGATAAAATATAAGTGGAATAACGAGCGTTTAATGCACGTCACTATTTCCCTTACACAATATTGTTTGCAGTCTTTTTTTTTTTTTTTTTTTTTTTTTTTTTTGGGGGGGGGGGGGTCTCACTATTTAGTCAACTCCTATTCTAATATCATTAAACATCTTATCATTCAACCTTGTTATTATCATTTTAATGTTGACGTTAAATCAAATGTCACCACACTCGTTGTTCCCTATATATTTCAATTTAGCTGCGATTTTACTCAATAACATATGGCTTCATGTACGCCCTTTCTATAACCCTGAATATTTTTCCGTAATTTGTTAAATACCGGGCTAAAAATGTATGTCCACTGCATAATATCTTTATTCCCTTTACCGTAAAGATATGAAGACTTACATAAGTTATTTGGGCCTTATTCTTCTCGCCGTTAATTTAATTATTATATAGGCCTTAAATTTGTATCATTGTTGTTATTATTATTGTTCTCTTTATTATTATCATTATTTCTATTATTGTTATTATCATTGTTATCGTAAATATTATCACAATCATTTTCAACGAAGTCAATACAATTAGAGTTGATAGCAATGTTGTTTTTTATGATTAAAGACCATATCGGAACTGAAAACGAAATGGATGAATTATATATAAACGGAAAGCTTATAAGCCATAGATTACAAAAATATCAATTACATGCCATTCTAGTGTCTGTCAGAGGAGTATCAGCTCTCTGGAAATTCAAAATCCAAAGCGTTGAAAATCGACCTAAAAGCTTGCTATCGACTTGATGATATCATCTTAAGTGGAGTACGCATATTCATAATGACTTTTCATATAAAGGTGAACGGATAGGATCCACATGTTATGTCGTCACTGTAACTTCGGCCTGTTGGCCTGAGGGGTGCGGACAATTAGGTTTTAATTTGCTTTTGTGCAATAATGAAATGGTAAATACATTTTATACCTTTGTATTTGTATTATACATTCATTCAGTTTTCCATTTAAATCAAGTTGTATTTTCCTCGGATATGGTCTTTGAGCATTGTAAAATCAATGTTTCAGTCCGAATTTTCCGACCTTATTTTTAAGATCTCGGGGAAAAGACTACTCTTTCGTTTGTTTGTTTGTTTGTTTGTGGTTTTGTGTGGGTTTTATTAATCATGTAAATCAATCATCAAAAAATATATTCCTATTTCGGTTTCAATACAGTAGATAAATGTACAATCAAACGCTAGCATAACTTTACTATTAGTATACTACTTGTAGAACAATTATTTGAGAAGTTTAAATAAATCAATGATACCGTGTAGATTATGAATATGATTATCATCATTATCATTACGGATGTCATCGTCATAATTATCAGTAAAATCATCAACATGATTAATTTTACACACTCACAAGGAAAATAAAATAGATGTGAGGTATTGGATTATGAATTTGATTGATGACAGACCACAACACCTCGTACATATTATCCTTGAACAAAAATAATGATAAATTCAGTTTAATCCCTCCGTCACTCATTGTTTGTTTGCCGTGGATTCAAGTATTTATGAAAACATACAAAAATAGAAAGTGTTTCCATGATAAAACACAAACAACGTTTTATCATGTAAATAAATACACTTATCGTTTTGTGTGAAATGGAATGCAGAGAGAAGAAACGTTTTTCTTGAGAGAGACTGATTGGGGTTGAATGTGCCCCCTCAATTCTAAAGAAGGATGTTTAATTGTCTGGACGTGTCATGTAAATTTTGTTCTTCTTATAATTCTCAATATCAGTGAGGGTGTGAGGAGGACGTATCATTTATACTCCCCCCCCCCTCTCTCTCTCTCTCTCTCTCCCTCTCTCTCTCTCTCTCTCTCTCTCTCTCTCTCTCCATCTCTCTCTCTCTCTCTCTCTTTCCCCTCTCTCTCCCCCTCTCTCTCCCTTCCCCTCTCTCCATCTCTCTCTCCCTCTATCTCTCTGTCTCTCTCTCCATCTCTCTCTCTCTCTTCCATTTTCCTTTTTTATAGCCATTTGGGTGGGATCACGTGCCCTGTAACCCACACATGCCACTGTATGGTGGTAACATGATCCTTGATAAACAATGCTAAAAAAGGAGAGAAAGGTAATTAAGTTTTAATTGATTATATATAAATATTTAAAAACATGTTTCTACTAGTTAAAATTGAACAGGATATCAAAGATAGTCCTTTATATTATGTTCTGTTCCATGGAATTGAAAGAAAGATGCCAGAACCCATACTATGGTCGAATCGCTAATGAAAATGTGGTGAGCGTTATATAGAATAAAATCAATGTGGTCGAAAATGAAAACGAACAGCATATCATCTGACGGTGGTCTACATCGTTTTTATATTCTTATGTCGTTGGAACATATAAATCATATCCAAAGTATAACATAGTAATGACTTGAATCTTATAATAGTTTAAAAAATTTTAATTTCGTAAAATAATTAAACTATGATTTTGCTTAATGTTGCTTCTTACATATAATTTTGTATTATGTATCTTGTCTTGAGTAATTTATCTTATGTAATTTTGCCGTATGTAATGATTACTTTATTATGTAATTTCTATTTTAAAAAATCATATTGTTTATTTACCTTACCTCAGGCAGGAAAGATCTGAAGGGGGCATTGGTATTTTTTTTTCTTTCGTTAGGAGGAGGGGGCTTGAGAATTCATTTTTTGAATATATATATATATATATATATATATTTTTTTTTTTTTTTTTTTTTTGGGGGGGGGGGGGTGTGTTTGAAGATTTGGAGGAAGGGAAAATGGAGGGAAATAAGGTATTGCAATAACCTGTTTATTCACTACACAGGTGGAAGCGCCAAAAACAGCATGAACCCCCCCCCCCCCCACCCCCCCCCCCAAAAAAAAAACATACCAAAATATCTCATCAAGAATAACACAAAGATCCACTGCATTACATTCCTCTCACTTACTGTTCAGTTGGAAAATTACCCGTTTCATCTATATCGTGTATTCATGGGAATTATATAACATTTAGATAATGTGAGGAATGTATTAATTAATTGATGTTATTATTCGATTTGTACATTCAAACTTGTATTAGACACCAACCTGCTTTATTATAATAAACGTTGTAGTATAGAAGTCGAAGTAGCAGTAGTCGTCGTCGTCGTAGTATTAGTAGTAGTAGTAGTAGTAGTAGTAGTAGTAGTGCTAGTAGTAGTAGTAGTATAGTAGTAGATGCATCGTCGTCATCGCCATTTTTGTATTTCATAGTAATAGTGGTGGTAGACAAGCCCTAAGATTTTCGCAGTGATACAATCAAAGAAAAGAAATTAAGACAAAATGCAAAATGTAAAAAAGAAAATTAATTGCATTATGACTTGTTAAAATGAAGATAAAGATAGGCAAGTATTTTTCTGTCGTATATCCATACAAAATTTAAAAAAACAGACGTTGTATAAATAAAAATGATGACGTTGTAATCATTTTGCTTTTGCTTTTGCTTTTAATTAAGCAATAAGTGTATCCTTAAATTTCTTTGTACTGCCGTTCTTCTATGGTCATAATTCGTGCTATCTTTTTATCTATAATGATCGGGAGACCTTTGCGCAAACACATCACCGTCAACAAGTTAGAGGGCGCTAGAGTGCCACATAGAGTGGAGTCCCTCTGCAGGGACACTGTTCATGATCACCATGTTCACCAAAGTTATGTTGTCTGTCAGTCCAAATCCACACGGTATGAGCGCACACAAACCCAAAGATTACATGTCAATATATCGGCTTGTTACACATGTTCATAAATTTGCTCTCTGTTGCATGCTTACGGCCAGTGTAAATGCTTACTTTTTCCCTATTTTCCACTGATTCTTTTCCTTGCACTTAATTGGATTAAACCCCAATTCCATACTAATGGAGAATTGCAAAGCATATTACAATTATTATTAAAATGAAGAGTATAGGTATATCGTATGCCAACACAAATGATGTCGATGTCCAATACACTCGATCATTATTATTTCAGCCAAAGTTGATTAAAAAAAATGATATCCAATCAGATTTATCTTTAAAACATTATTTTTAGGCATATCATTTTCTTGATAGTATATAAACCACGACTTGTCTTATTCTTATATTTAGTTTGCATCCATTTCCCATACCAGAGACATGCCATAAGACATCAATCCTCCCATACCTTATTTTAGGTATAAAAAAGCATTTGCTTATGAATCTTTTTTTTCTTTCGCTTGTGCATGTGTATTCGGCCTTTTCAGTTTCTT